AGCAGCCGCCAGCAGTGGCCGAAGGCGGGCCGGAGTGCTGCCGCGTCTGCGGCCTCTGTCGCCGTGCCTTGGCCCTGCTCGTGGCCTCTTCGTCGCCTTTGCCACTCGATGCGTGTGAATTTAAGTCTTGCCCTTTTCAGGGTGTCAGAGAGTTCAAGACCTTTCCATTTCTTTCCCTTCATGGCGGAGCAGTCTGGTCTGAACTGGGAGGAGAATGTCCCACTTTGTTAACTTCTCCTTGGATACCACTCTTCCTTGTGGCTATCTTAACCTGCTTTAAGGCAGGTAACACATGCCAGATAAGCACAAAATACAGTATTGTGTTCGTAAATTACAGAAATGGATGCTTCCAGCCCTAATCCTAGCCTTGCCCTGGGCAGAACCTTGCAAGGGCACTCCAGCCCTTCCAGGGGCTAAACATTCCCTTTTTGGCGAAACTGATTCTCTATTGGCAGCTTCTTTAAAGCCTTGCTCCAGCTGGAGCTCTGATGTTTTTTCCAAGCTTAACCCTAACCCTAACTTGAGCCCTACACAGCAGCATTTCCCCGGACTATCAATTCCCCAGGGTGATGCTATTTTTGCAGCGCTTAGTTTCCTTTAGCAACTCAACTCCAACTATAGATCTGTCTTCTTTCCACCAGCCTTAACCCTAAGCCTAGGCTGAGCCAAAGGCTCATGACATGGCTCAGTCCAGAGCCTTAATATCACCAGGAGAAGAATTCTTTTGGCAGCTCTATTTCTCCTTTGCCAACCCTTTCCCAGCCCCATCCCAGCTGCGTTTCAGGCTTTCTTGTTCTCTCAACGCTAGTGCTAATCCTAAACCTAGTTCAAGTTGTGAGCCGGGCACTATTGAGAAACACAGTGTTCTTCAGAGGAGAACTCTTCTGGCAGCCCTAAGTTTGCTTTGGCAGCCCCTTTCCAGCCCCGCTCTAGCTACAGCTCTGTAGTTTCTTTCAGCCTTAACGCTACATATGGGCATGGTTCTTCACAGCCAAGTAAAACAGACTGTGACAGCCTTGAGCAGGATCAAAGACAAATATAACAAAAAAAAGAGGTGTTGAATATAGAATGAAGTACAGAAATAGAACGAGAGTTACAGATACACTTTTGAGGACTGTGAGATTAGCCTTTCTAGATCTTGGAGCCTTCTCGTTGAAACTATAAGAAAGGAAATACAGTGAACTGCTAGTTCACAAAATGAAAGTCAGATAAGAGAGATCAGATGTGGGAGAGGTCTAAGTGCACCAGCACATAGGACCTTGAAGAATTTGAATGAGAAGAATGAAGCAAAAGCACGACAGACGAGTGGAAATTCCATCAGAGGGGGCCAAATCTAATGGGATTCAGGGTCTGCTTCTTACTTACTCTGATGCTTGTTTGCTTTCCTTTGGAGTAAATGAAAATCCAGAGCTTTGAAGTCTGTTGCCCCGAGGTCTCTTACAACGGAAGAAAAAACGCCAGTTTTAGGCCACAAGTATGTTGTTTATTTAGCGACTTCTAGTGTTTATTACAGAGTTTGTAACACTCTATAATTGTTAGGTACTAAAGGATTCATTAAAATAATTAATATTTAAATTTATAATTCAGTTATTAATAGTCATAATTTATGCAAGGAATCAACCATCTCTTTTTCTACAGCATGTAATCATGCAAAAAAATCTCTGGGGACTTTCAGATAAGATCCTCAATCCAGCTCTGCCCCAAATTGTTTCTTAAATAGATAGTTTTGTCAGAAGCAACCCAAATCCACGCAGGGCCCACATTGCAGCAAATTCAGCTGTTGAGGCTTTTTCACAGAAGCTTGCCTGCTAGCAGATACTCCATTTCTACTAGATGGTCAACACATAAAAATGCTATAGCTATCGAAACCAGTGCATGAGTGGGAAACAGTGGCCTCATGTAAACAAGTCCCAAACCATCTAAGAGTTTTTGAGTTAAAACCAGCAGGTTGGATCCTATCTGCTGGTGCCTCTGTAACATGAGCGTCTCTCTCAGACAGGAAGGCAACAGCTTCAGTCACTGTGCCACCTGGTATTACTGCAGAGCTTCAAAGCAGCTGGCTGTGCTTTTGCAGTAGTTCAAGCTCATGCTGACAAAAGCATGGATAACAGCATGACAGTGAGGCTCTTTGGCGAGATGGCAGCCAAATGCACACATAAAAATTTGCGTTTTAACTTTGATGCACTGTTCTTTCAGATGGTTGCACCCCCATCCAGGGGGACGTCGATTGGCTGGAGAACTGGGAAAACAGGAATGCCATGCAATTCAACAAACTGGAGTACAAAGCCCTGCACCAAGGGAGGAACAACCCCATCCACCAGCACAGGCTGGGGCTCCCAGCTGGAAAGTAGATGGGTAGAAGAGGCCCTGGGGGTCCTGGTGGACACCAAGTTGAACATGAATCGCCAATGTGCCTTTGCAGCAAAGGCGGCCTGCAGTGTCACGTGCTGCGTTAGGCAGAGCACTGCCAGTAAGTCAAGGGAGGTGATCCTTTCCCTCTGCTCGGCACGGGTCAGGCCACACCTGGAGTACTGTGTCCAGTGTTGGGCTCCCCAGTACAAGAAAGATACAGGCATGCTGGAGAGAGTCCAGTAAAGGGCCACAGAGGTGAGCGAATGGAGCATCTTTCACAGGAGGACAGGCTGAGACAGGTGGGACTATTTAATCTGGGGAGGAGAGAGCTTAGGGGATCTTATCAGCGTGTATAAATACCTGATGGCAGGCAGTAAAGGAGAAGGAGCCAGACTCTTCTCAGTGATTTCCAGTGACAGGACA